TGGCTCCGAGCAGAGGCTGCGCCTGTGCCTCTGACACACCCGGCAGAAACGCCGCACGGCCGCGGCCGCGGGCACAGCGCGGGCCCTGAAAACTGGCTGCGAGCGGCGGTACCTGTGTGACTGCTTGGGGGGTGAGTCCCGCAGGTGGCTGCTCCTGCGACTTTGAATTCTCTTCTTCTTTGCTCAATACAGACAACCATGAGTGATCGAAAGGCAGTGATCAAGAATGCGGACATGTCTGAAGAGATGCAGCAAGACTCTGTGGAGTGTGCTACTCAGGCCTTAGAGAAGTACAACATCGAGAAGGACATTGCTGCTCACATAAAGAAGGTAAATGTTTGCTTGCGCTGTCCTCACCAGATCTCTATGCACATGAAAAATCAAGCAGGGAGAATGCTGCTGGGCAAGTAGCTCTAGAGAAACAAGTTCTGGAGACACTAGATAATCAAGCTGGACTTTTTCTGTAGGCTGGTGTCCTTATGTTCCTTTCCCCACCCTTTGCGTGGACTTTCCCAGGTCCTTCTGCTTTCCTCTTGCAGTACCTTCTACTTCAGCCTTTTCTGCCACTGTCCCGCTGTCCAGGTGAACAGAGAGTGGCAGCTGAATGTCCCTGTGACTGAGGAGCTGGTACAAAACACAGGGGCTCTGTGGAGCCTATTTGAGAAGTGGTGGTTCGCTGACCTTGTAATAAGTGGTTTTGTTGGTTTGGGGTTTTGTTTTTTTTTTTCCCCCACCACATGTAAGACAAACTGTTCATGATACTGCAGAACAGATGGTTCATAGCTTCCAGTTTGTCAGATTTTCTCTCTGACTCCTACTGGGAGCCTGATTGAGCTGCAAGTAATTGAAGGGTTTGGTTGACCATAGCAGAAACTCCTGCATGCTCTCACAAAAAGTCTCCTCAGCTGATGGCTGTTACATACTACAGTATATAACCACTGACTGTGTGGTTTTACTCATAGTAGACTTGTACACACAAGTTTATTTGAAAGTCATAGCAGGCTCCTGACTACAGTGTGTAGGAAGAACATGGTCTCATGACCTGATATCAAGGATGTGGCAGAGAATTCTCCATCAAGAATTCTCCATCCTTTCAGCATCCTTGTTGAAAACAGCTAATGAAGTAAAAATAATGGCTTAAACTGTATAGACTCAGAACAAGCCGTGAAGTTCTTAAAAGTTATGGTTTGAGATCATGGTATGACTTCTGGGGAAAAGTTACTTCCCCAAACATATGTTTTAAACTTATTCCTGCTCAGCTCAGAAGCACTTTTTTTTTTTGTCTGACTAAGCAGCAGGTGAGTTATAAAATGACAGATGATCCTTGCACTTAAGAGCATATGCTGCTCCTTAATTGCCTTCTTCCAAAAGTGATACTTGCTAACAAGTGACATATCATTGCAAAAAGCCCCTGTTAGACAGTATTAGTACAATTCTCACGAAAATGCTGAATTCCTAGTTCTCTCTTCTGCAGGAGTTTGACAAGAAATACAATCCCACTTGGCACTGCATCGTGGGAAGGAACTTTGGCAGCTACGTGACTCATGAGACCAAGCACTTCATCTACTTCTACCTCGGCCAAGTCGCTATTCTTCTTTTCAAGTCTGGTTAGAACCACAGACTGTTACGGAAACTTGCACCTGGTTACAGGACTGCACACCAACTCTAAACAGCCTCCTACCTTCAGCCTTCCTGAGGAGACAGACCTTGATCTTCAGGTCTTTTGTTGTATTGTTAATGGTCAGGGATTTTGCTGTAGCAGCTGGTATTTTCATTGTGGCTATAAAAAAGGCAAAAATGTCTTCCTTGTATTTATTTTCTTTCAAAAGATGGCTTCTTTGCTAATAAAACTGTCAGAACAAGTTTATCCTTTAAGAGTTTTCTCTACCCTTCTGCCCCCTCAGTGCTTGCATTACCCTCTTTATTCCACTGTGAATGAAGGAGGAACATCCCCACCTCCATTCCTCCCCCTCCCCTCCCTCAAACCCACACCATCTGAAGCCTGAGCTAATCTATGAGTATGTCATCAGTCAGTAACTGAGAGCAACAGGAGATATTTTCCCTGAGAGAAAAAGAGACTGCTTTTCAATTCTTGATAAGCATATTTTCAGTATACACAACCTCCAGTGCAGACTCTGGAGTTTAGATACATGGTGTTGCTTTTCTGATTTCAAGTGAACTGGTGAGCTAAAAGCAATCGTCCTTTCATCTCCCAATTTTCAGAAGAGAGAAATTTTCATACTAGTTCCTTACACAGCTGTCACTTAGAATGTAAATTTATACCTTCTCTAGATTTTTTTTTTACTCTATCCCTGTATCCTGCTACAGAAGCATCTGTTCTTAAACAGCTTATTTAAAGAACAGAAGGAAACGCAGAGAGAGATTACGTAGGGATTATGCATCTAGCACTGACAAAGAGAAAGATTTCATATGGAGGTGAAAACATGTCATCTCATCCCAGAATATAGTTATGCCGTCATTCTCCTTCAGAAAAAAAACCCTTTCTTAGAAAGGAAGCCTTCTTAGAAAGGTTAAAATATTGACTGAAGTGAAAAAAGCTGCTGCAGAGCTGTTTTATTTCACAAGCCTTCCATTTGCCTTTGACAGAAGTAAAGGAATCATGGGAAAAATCCCTTAGAATCCACATGACAAAGGTAATGACAGCTTAATAAAAATCTAATAAATACAAGTTACTCCTCACTGGTAGGATATCCTCCTTGGAGCTTAGTAAAAGAAAAAGGAGGCATCTTATTCGAAGACCAGTCAATCTATTTCTGTATCCACACCACTGGTAACTGAAGTTGCTCCATTTGTTAGCACTGCTCAGTTTTGGCCACGTCCTTTACATTGCACTTGAAGGGAAACGCGAGTGTAAGAAACACCACAGGAGTCACTTCATCCACAGGTTTCTTAGGGGGGAAAAAGGTAGCTGATGTTGTTCTGGGTCTGACTGCTGAGCAAGTATCTGTTGCACAAGTTCTTAAAACTCCTCTTCAATCTTGATAGCGTTAAAATTCCACAGCCTTCATACTCCTCAGGAAAATTACACTTCCTGTGTTTTGCTACATAGACTCAGAGTTTGAAACCTGAGTGAATGGCAACAATGCCCAAGTTTAAATTCTGATAATCCACTTTAAGAAACCCTGCATCTTCTATCATTGCCTTCAACTCCTCCTGAAAAATAATAGTTCCATAATTATAACAACCTGAAGGTCTATAAGCCAGCTGCCTGCAAGATTATGCTGGGACCGTGTTTTGTGTGTTAGTGAATTCAGAAAAATACTGTCTTACCTGAGGGGGGAAACGTCGGATGCTCTCCACAAGATACTGGTAAGACTTCCAGTCACCAGCGATAACCTCACCCAGAACAGGGATAACCTGGAAACTGTATATATCGTAGAGCCTGCACAGACAGACAGCAAATACAGATTAATACAAACAAGTTTAAAGTCAACCATCTCCAACACAAGTTGATCTCTGTGCCACTACGCTATGGAGTCTGCATCTGATTTTAAAAGCGCACAATGAGGTGGCCTCAAAGTGTCTCCGTCTCTTATTCTGGCTGAGTACAAATAAGAGAGCCTTGTGACATGGCATAGTGTCACCATGTTTCTACCTGGAAAGAAGAGGGTTGCTGACGTGACTAAATTCAAGGCAGAGAAATCTTCCTCCTGGTTTCAGCACACGATAGGCCTCCTGAAGTGCCTGAGACAAAGCAGATGCAATAAGTTTGTTTCTGTAGAACAGCACCTGCCTATTATCATGCCTTGTGATGGCAACTCAGTGATGAACTGAGGGGAGTAAAGAGAATCCTCATTGGCAACCTCCAATATTTACTTGTGGAGAAGCATCCCAAGACAAGTACAAAAAAACCCCCCAAACAACAAAACCAAGCCACAAAAACTCTTGCTGTTACATAAATAGGTTTATACCAGGCTTTGTGTCAAAACTATGATGTCAGGTTTGCAATTTTTCTTCTTTTTCCCTACTCTTAGTTGATGAATATTTGCCATTACAGATCAAACCCAAAAGGGAGAAGGTGACTCAGCTACAGGAAGCTGAAAATGAAGAGGGCATGATAGATTTTTTTTTTTAATCAAAAGAAAAGATTTTGCTCAACTGTGAGGCACACCCAAAGGATCAAAGAAGAAATGATACTGCGTTTTGGATAAGCAATGTGTGAGAACAGGGAGGAAGGAGAGGGAAGAAGAAAATCTTTGGCTACTTTGAAAATTCCATCCTGTATCCAAAATAAAACATGTAAGAACCACCAAGATAAAATTCTGTTTACAGCTGTATGTTTTTTCATACAAGAGCACAGCAGAGTTGTATCCAAGAACCTCTGCAGGTTGTACATCTGCTTGGCTTCAATTGTCATGTTCCTAAGGGATAAAATATAAACAGTACACATACGTGATGGGAGCTCTGCAAAAGAATTGGAGGCTTGGATGTGTTTTGTATCGGGTCTCCAGGGGGGCTACGCTACCCGACTGCTGTATCCATGAAGGCAAAGAGCCTGTGCTTCAGAAGGGTACAGACGAAAAATCGTGAAAAGCCATCCACACTAAGGGAAGTTCAAAGGCATACAGTTCAAGGTGGTTTGGATCCAAACGCTACACCTTCCACAGAAGGAGCATTGCCAAGGTTGTAACACGCTCCTCCAAAACACAGACAACTAGTCCAGCTAGACAGGTGATCTAACCTATCTTTACCCCCAAGACAGCTAGTCATTCTCGAAGGACAGATACTGTTTAGAACAAAGGGTACTACTTACCCTAATTAAAATCATACTAATTCTTCATGGGAAACTCTACTAACAGCCAGTGTAAAGACACTGAGCAGAAGTGGGCTGAACAGGTTAGTTCAATGGCAGTGGTGGCAGCAGCCCAGCTGCTTCCCACTCTCTGCTCTGGAAGCTCTGCTGGCTCAGGCAGGGAAACAGAACGGGGCAGGAAGCGTTGGACCCACTGCGGGTGGGATATAGATCAGGTGCTTCAGGAAGATTTGAGACATGCAGACTGACTGCACTGTGCATGTGTAGATCCAGTCATATCATAGGTCAGGAGAAGGTGGGGAATGACTGTAGCATTCAGCTCTTTTTGCCTTAGGAAGGGATTGTGTGACTTGCGACGGTGGAAGGATTGGACGCAACTAGTATAAATCTAACTTTTTATGACAAAGGTGGGGCATTTAATTGCGTTCTTCATTAAACAAGTTGCACACTACATGCCACTTATTTTAAATGTTTCAGGAGTAGAGAACGATGTTCCTTTGTCCAAAGGAGTTCCTCCTTTGCTTCCTCTGCTAGAATAAAAAAAACTCAGATGAATCATAAGGACGCCATGTCAGGATAAACTATAGCAACTTACCAAATCAATACGAGTTACATTTCTGATTCCAAAGGCAATTGTGTAAACATCAAACTTGTCATCATCAAAGGGCAACTCTTCAGCATTCCCCAGTACCCAGGACAAGCCTTTAGTAAAAGCCAAGGACACAGAATTGAACTCAGACTGCTCCAGAAAGACTAGAACTTAACTATTCCAGGAGAAAATGGTTATTAAAAAAGTGACTTTTAAAACTAATACTTCAATTTTGCGTTTCTGCTGGAGGAAAGACACCTTGTTCTATACTCACAAACCTTTCAAGGCCCTGTACTATACAGCTGTCTTTCAAGCAAAGTAGTTAATTTTGCAGATCAGCCAAAACATTCTTCTGCATATACACGCACGTTGTGCTCACAGTGCCTTAGTCTGCCAAGAAGATTTCACCCAAATCTTGCATCGTAGTGGACAACAACTGGCTTTCCAGAAACTGGCTGCCATTTGTTTGTAGCAAAGTTGCAAAAAGAGAATCTCTGCTCAAAGAGTAACTATAAACAATGATTAATGCTTTGCCATGCAACAATGGCCAAAACACTTAAAACACTTTGCTAGAAAGCTTCCATAGATTGAGGAACATGAAAAGCCACACTCCCTCCATCAGCACTATCAGTATGTGATCCTGTTGCAGCTGTGTTGCTTCCCAAACCCCAATGGATCAAGGCCATGTCTATCTGTGGAGCATGGATGTCCAGGTTTTTGGTACCAAAAGTAAGACTGCTCAACTTAGAATTAATAGTTCTTAAAGTCACTGGTTTTGGTGACCCAAATGCAAAACAAAAAAAAATAACAGAAAAAAACCAGAAGCCTTCTGCAACAGAGATCAGCAGTTTCAAAGGGCAGTATGCTAGAAAGTGACATGGAGGAGAGCAAAACACAACAGAAAACAACAGTTGTTGCCAGGAGACATTTAAATTTCATTTTTACAAAATATATATGTTTATAGTTGTAGAAAGTATTGTATGAAAAGAAGCATGCAACATTATTAAAGCAGCAATTATTAGTGTTATTTAAACCTAGACAGTTTGAAAAGACACCTAAGAAATGAGCATCAAGAAAAGGTTTTGAGCAACAGGAAAACTGTCCCTCAGAATACACTGTAGTAAAAAAATCACAGGCCAGGAGTTTGTAAGTGGATACATAAAAGGGGCTGTCGGCGTCCAACAAGAAGAACTGGGGCATGTGTAGTGCAGCCCATACCACTCCTGCTGGCCAAAATGCACAATCAGCGATTGTGCAACAAACGTGTCTCTCTTCGCCATGCACAGCCCCCACTGTTGGTGAATGTACATGGGAAAATAGTGAAATAAAACTCTGCCCCTTACAATTTTAAGAAAAACAAATTTTAGACATTGGACAATCAACAGTTATCTGCAAGCTCAGAAATTAGATAACTATGCAGAGGCTGCCCAGGGCATACCTAATGGTGGTACACAGGCAAACAAAGTTTGGGAACCTCCTGGAATACTTTACATTGCTAAAGTATTTGCCAAATATCCGTAAATGAAGAGAGGATAAACAACTATCACACAAATGCTGAGCCACAAGCAGGACTTCTTTCTCTATGTCTTACTTCTTAAAATCAGGCTTTTCAGTCAGGATTGGCATGGTCCCCAGCAAATTCTAGATATCAGTGAATTAACCCATTGACCTGCAAACTAACATTTAATGTAATTCAGGTTCTCTGAGTATTATTAGCATATGCTCTAACTGTGGAAAGTTTTATAGGTCCACAATATCCTTTAGTTCTTGCATTTTTTATTTGCTGCCTTGATTCTTAAAATACCCATTATAAGATCTTTAGAGTAATCATTCTAGGGCTGAGCTCTTTTGCACTATCTGCCTTAGTAAAATCAGATTTGTTAGCACAGACATAAACAGCAGGTTTAGATTATTTAACCAATTTTGAAGGATAGCTGGGTATCAGACCTCATGGACACTTCCATATATGTACTTCTGAAAGTTCAAGTATTATTCGAGATCTGAACATCTGAACAACATACTACATACATGCTCACTGAAAAAGTAACTCAACATTGGCAAACATGCAAGCACAGCTATAGTATGCACCAGGGCTATATAATGTATATTATAATCCTGAAGTGGTGATTACCTGATGGCTATCATGCGTCAAATTCTTGCTATCAGGCATGCTACTGAAATGGTACAATGCACAACTTACCTTCAGAGTAGCCAAGATGTTGTGCTTTCTGCTTCCCAACTTTTAACATCTCTTTGTTAATGTCACAGACCACCACTTGGGAATCCCCTAGCGACTTAAATTTGTCTTCCTGGTAACTCTCAGAAATTTCCTGCCACGATAAATTCTGATGGTGCTTAAGCTTCTGCTGGAGCTGGCGTTCTCGTACAGAGCGAACATAATTAATGAATCGAAAGGCGATGTCACCTGCATTTGTTTTAAAAGAAAGATACATGTTTTGGAATGTTTTCTGACTCCAGGAAATTGGAACATAAGGATTTGAACATCAAACTGACTTAATTTTAATTTTTTATATATATATATAAAAATAAAAACCACACACGGGGGGGAGGAGAGAAAAAGAGAGAGAGAGAAAGAGAATATATATAAATATATAAAGGGAACATATTAAAAGCAAAGAATCCATGACTTCCCACAACTGGAAACAGTTTTCCATAACATATCATGGCAGTACTATAACACTTTCAGAGCCTTGGAGCAAGATATTACAAAACACAAAGAAGTTAGGTCTCAGCACTTCTCTGTGAAAATCAAGTAGATGCTTCACTAGTTTTAAAGACAGGCAACTTGGGGGGGGGGGGGGAGGAAGGCTAGGCAACTTAATTCTGAGCAGACTCAAACAGTTCAAAAACAGCGTGGCATTGTCATGTGGAACTCGCCAAAATTGTTTACCTGTTCCTCCAGCAACATCAAGAAGAAGTGTTCCTGGGGAAGGGTTCATTTTGTGCATGAGGATATCCTTCCACACTCGATGAATCCCTAGAGTCATTGAATCGTTCATTATATCATATTTCTTGGCCACACTTTCAAAGACCTGGTAAACTGCAAAGAAAGGACAAGAAAATGAGATGCAACTTTAAAATGGTCCTGTGGAAGTAAAATGTGTCCTTCATTGCCTGGTGGAGGTCTGCCACCATGTGGAACAGAAAAAGACCACCTGAAAGACCACCATACAAAAAACATGATCGAATCCTATTGAGCTTGTTGCCTGAAAAACGTCTCTTTGGAGAAACACAGCCTCTTCCCGTAACCCTTCCGGAGCAGAGGGGAAAAATCGAGCAGGCATAACACTGATACTATTTACCAAGACTCCCGGTAACGTCTCAAACCAACGGCCCAGCTCCAAACACATCTCCAGCACCCCTTCAGCCCCACAGCCGATGGCGCCAGCTGC